ACCTACTTTCCTCCTTTTCTAACTTAAAACATTTGCTCAAGTTATTAGTATGTTCATCATATTATTACTTATTTGTAATTCAACTTAATTAAACATGAATGTATTATTGATGGACTAATTTATTATTTTTCAGCCAAGTGTGATGTTAAAAATATGGACTGAAGAATTTTTAAATGTAAGTTAAAATATTTGTCTTAAAATAAATTGTATTTTTAAATACGGGTAATAATATATAATGACTAATCTTATGTTATTATTATTGGTAGTTAGTAAATGTTGACTTATTAACTGATAAATAAATTATTTATTTAAAATCTAGACTGTGAGCAGATTGGATCCATATTTTATTGCATTGCATTGTCAAGAGGTTGGTGGGAAAAATTATGAAGAAAGTATGAAACACGTCAATTTTTTTGTTAGGTAATTAATAATTTAATAAATTATTTATTTATTTGTTTGAGTTTGATAAATAACAATTTAAATTTAAATATCTACTTTGATTTGTTAAAAATTTGSTGTTTCTTTTTGTATTGGAGGAAAAAGCCTATTTTATTCATTTATTTTTATACCTACTTATTTTACTATTTCAAGCAGCTCAATGTTTTACAATTTACAACATCCGATTTTTTTTTTACAAATTAAATTTCAAGTGGTAAAAAAAAATTCTCTCGAACATGTATCATCAATATTGTATACTATAGTAATATTATACTTACTCTCTAACTAGCAAAATCATTTGATGACTCCTAATTATTAATCATAATTTATGTAAATTTATTTTTGTTCGCAATTAGCTCATTAACATACATGTTATTTAGTWTATAATTCAAAATAATTTTAATAATTTTGTATAATAAAACTTAATTATAAGGTTGAATCATGGTTTTTTGCATGAAATAACAATTACATTTTCTATAGCTTTTCATTTATACAATGCTCAATTGTTTGGTAACATTATGTGTAGTGAACAAATTATATTCTATTATACATAATTTTGTATTTAGCAACACTACTTCTTTATATTTGTTTCATCAAATATAATAGGTTAATAATGATTATAAAAGTTATAGTTAATACATTAAAATATGAGTTTTTAATATTTATTTTTTGTATTTAAAATAATAAAATGATAATATGACTGAAATTATCAATAGTAATTTCAATGACTAATTATTAAAATTTGTTCAAGACTTACGTATGTACCTAAATAAATTATTATGGTTATGTTGAATAAGCATTTTTAGTTATTTTCAAAATCCAATTTATCCATATAAAATATAAATGATCAAAATTAAAGGGGTCCGTGCAAAAACGAGACTAATCAATTTTTCAAAACTTTTCATAAACCAGGCAGCTCTAGTTAAAATTTATCTCCTATACAAGTTATTGGATTTGTCTTGTTCTTACACAGATATATAGTAGAATCTCGGGAATCCGAGAGATATTAAACCAGAGTAAGTTACGTATTAATAGGATTTCATATTAAAACACATTTTTACTTATTGAATTTTTTACTTATATTAAAAAATGAATAATCTTATTGTGCTGGACATTCCAGATTATCAAAAGGCCGGATTACTGAACTTCTATTGTAATCGTCAATTTTTTTCGAATTAAATGGCCACAAATAAATTTTTGACAGAAATGTAGTTGTCTTGTTTTTGTTATACAAACCCCTTACATTATAAAATGTGACCAGAAATTGAGATTTCTTGATATTAGCTGTATTGATTGTACRGGAAGCTTCTTAGTGGATTTTTTATTTTTATTTAAAAATGTGAAATTCTATACTGTTATCTGTAATAAAGTATTAATTAATTTGATTGCAGTTTGTTGATGTCAAGCAAAGAATTAAGGATCTTCAACAGAGCTCAAGTATTTCTTGATGAAGAATTCACATCAGCTGAAAATTTTACAGTAACTAGCCAAATATAATTGTTACGGTATATTTTTATTTTCGGTTTTCGAATGAAACTCATTATTCGTTATTTTGAATGTAAATAAATCAGTTCAACTAAACTACTATACATTTTTTGTTTTCGGAGCCTCAAATAAATTATTACTACAATATCTACATGTATGATATTATTTAAAATTTAAGATTAATTTTTTCTCAAGTCTTAAAATATACATCATGTGTACTTAGGTAAGGTTTTCGGTTTTTTTATTTTATCAATTATCATTATTTTGTATTAGTTTTTAGTATTTAGAACATACATATTGTTTCATATTCAAATCTAAGAATTTCTGTTGGATTGGGATTGAGTGGGCTACTTTCATGAACCAAGGGAGAGAGAAGTGAGATCTAATATATTAAAATTAATTTGTCATCATAAAAATGTATACTTACTCAAGATTGATAAGCCTAGTTTTTCATCATAAGCTATAATCATAATTACTATTATTTATACATTTATATTTTTCTAATTTAATTTTCTAATCTGTTATTTTAGTTATTGTTTTAAATATAATTTTAATTATATATATAAACCATGACACGTGAACACATGTGTTCACCAACTTAGGAAACACTGAATTTCTCGGTCAGATTATGTTTGAATAAATCAAATTTTTTTACAAGCTAGTAGTATATAAATATTATAAATACACATTTTCAGACAAATTTAAAATTTTAACCCTCGGTTAGGTATTTTGTAGTATATTATTAGGTATGTTAATGTAATTTATTTTTTTTTAAATAGTAATCGGTATTATCGGTATTTTTAATACCAGATTTGGATAAACTGAATTTTATCAAGTCATTTTGACCATTTAACCATGGCTCTAAAACCATAATTGACTGAATGAGAGCCATTCAAATTTTAATAAATAATACATTTTTACAATTCATTATAAAATGCATAAAACCATTTATAATTATTTAT